GGAGTTCAATCACTTTTTATTCCTAAATTATTGATTATAAGCAATATTTATATTAACAAAAAGACTTTTTACAAATATTGTGAATTTCTTTGGCTTCAAGTTTAAATTTTTGTTGTCAGATGTATCGATAAAATTTAGTGTTGTCAAATCAATCATTAACCAAATAACAGTGAAATGAAATTGAATGAAGTAAAATAGAGTGTAATATGGTGAAATACTTAGAAGACCTTAGGTCAATTGACTGTAGAAAGAATGGATGAGTAGTAAAAACGAAGGAAAGAAGGGGAAATAATTTGAGCAAAATGTTTAATCCGGTTTTACAGTAATTTTCATTAAACCAGTAATAAATCAGTGATTGAACAGTCTCACCTCGGTATCAAACTATCAATACCCATACCCATTTGTCGTTTCTGCGCCTATTAATCTATCAATGGTATTAAATACTTTTCTCGCAAATTTTTACGATTTTCCAATTCTGTCTTTTTCGTTAATCTCTTTATTATTATCATCAAACTGTTGAAATTAAGCGCCTCTTATGAATTCGCTAATTTAATTTTCTTAAAATATGCAAATTAATATATGAAAAGACTAGTATGAAAATTAAGGAATTTTAAGGACTCTAAATTTGAATATTATTTGTTTGCTTATTTTATAATAATTATTTAAGTTGCAATCAGCTGATTACTTCCAACATAAAATGCTTTTGCTCATCACTTTAAATTAAAATTCGAAAATTTGATTCAAATCGACCTAATTTAAATTTTGAAAATTTGGTCATTACAACGTAATGAACAAAACAAAACATATTCAATGGTACCTTTTAGATATTAAAGTTTTAATGATTTAATTTTAGGTATGTCAAAAGTGATTGGTAAAAAAGAGAAAACAATAAAAAAAGAATTGTGTCAAATCAATGATATTTTTTAGCAATGGAACTTCGATAGGATTAGCAATTGTTAGAGGGGGCATTAATCCTGATTTAGGCAAATCCGGATACTGTAATGTAAACCTCTCTTAGTTACTGGCAGAGAAACAAATTATTGCTTGCTTTTTTTTCTTCTCCAGAAGATGAAGTATTCATTTTAACAAAATACGTGTTGAAATTATTCACTCTTCAAATTCATAATATCAAAAGTTTGTGCATACTTAGAGAATTAACTAATTAGTCGTATAAGTTTATTCAACTAATTAATTATGCAAAGCTAAAGATCATTTCATCAATTTTACTAATTGCAATAGTTGTCATTTAATCTCTTAAAAAAAGAAGGAAAAATATGGAAGGAATGTTCTGTGATTGTGATTTCGGTGTTTACTTATATTTCGTTTTGTTCTGAAAAAAGTTTTGAATGAAAGAATTTCGTAAATTTCAGCTATTTCATCTAGCTGCAAGCCTACTTGTAATTCAATTTTGCATATAAAACGGCTAACTTTAAAAATTTTTAGGGCGAGAGCACATCAAATTATCGTTTTCCAAATTTAAAATTTTTCTGTTTTTCATATTGTCTAATTTTATTTCAAAAATTTAAAATTAACAGTTATTTCTTCAGGTATGTTAAAAATGAAGTTGTTGTGAAGAAGCGTTAGTAAACTCTGATAGACATTTTTCATCTTTAAGTATTTTTCACAGGTATTTTTTGTTCAGAACAAGTATTTGTCAGACCACCTGCTGTTACAGCAATTTACGCCTAGAGTGAAATGGACAAGATGCTCTCCTTTGTCACCTTTCTTCTGTCACCTTGTCTCCTTGCTATTATTTGTTAGATGTAGACATTTATTTTTTCCAATGATTTATTTGGCAAATTTTACAGCATGCAAAGCTTTGAAAGATTTAACCTGAATTACACGGCGCAATTGCCTACCAATCAATAACGACAATCACTTCATCTTAATTATTATAATTTGATGCCACTTAATAACTTATTTTCTACACTATTAATTAACTATCTTTTCAAGCAAAATTAATGTTTTAATTGAACGCATTAATTTAAAAACATTTAACTTAGTTTTATTTCAACCCAAATATTCTTTAAAATATATTAAAAATTTCAGCTGTCAAAACTTTTAGTAATAAAACTTAATTTTTTAATTTATGAAATTTATGATTTTTTCTTTATTATTTTGAAAATGTTATGCTATTATTTTTTAGGATTAGCGCAATATTTGAAAATCGGTAATTAAATGATAACCGGTTTGGTAACTTCCGGAACAATCTCTCGATATTTGCCAAGATGAAGAATAGTGCTTTAATGCCAGATGACAATAAGAATAATTTAATGACATTTTTTTAACGGGAAAAGAGAAATATCCAAAAATTGAATTTATTATTATCCACCTTCTTTGATACGCTGATCTAATGATTAATGCAATATTTATAAGATATTTTGAATATGAAAAAATTTCAATTTTCCATTTGAATTTTATCCAAAAATTTTTACTCATCCAAAATTGCATTTTTATCATAGTTTTTTATTCAGGAAATGTCGAATTATTGTGAAATTTGAATTAGATTTAAGCACTCCTTTTTGTAAGTTTGCAAAATTTGAAAATGTAAAATTTCCGGCAACTTTACAACTGTGTGCATTTTTTGTTAGGATGAAATATGGGACAGTATTCTGGATCAGGAATATTGAGAAATATAAAATGAAATGACGTAAGGACATCATCCACTTATAAAAATGTTGATTACCCTATACTCCTTAAAAGCAGCACTCATCATTTTTAAGTATGCAATTCATAATGTACCATCACATTGTAGAAATGCCGCTGAGAGCTAAAAGGGATTAATAGAAAGCTTTTTGAAGGTGTGATTTTAATAGAACTGTAATTACTTATGATTTCAGAAATGATGACGAATAAGTTGCAAAATGAATTACAATTTAGATAATAATATTTTTTGCAAAAATTTGTCAGACAATTAAAATGTTTTTTCCGAATTTTATCCTGATCATTTTGAAATTAAACTAAAAAATAAAACCAAACTCGGAAAACAATTATGCCTACATTTTATTTCGAATCTCTCTCTCTCTCTCTCTCTCTCTTTATCTTCATTCCTCTTAAACATATATGAAGCATAGTAATGCTACCAGATGAAGCGAAAAAGCGCTAATTAGACAAATGAAATGGATGAAACTAATTAAGCCACCGTTATAGGAATGCCTCTTTTTTGCTTTCCTGCTATCTTTTTATATAATTAAAAGGAACATATTTTCAATGATCCAGAAAATGTTACCTGATATAAAACAAAAGTTTAACTTTCGTTCATTCCAGTCATTACCAGAATTGTTATGTATCATTTTAAAAAGCAATATCAGTTTAATTTTTCTAATCAAACAGTCTTAATTTGAAATTTCTTCTCTTTCTTTCTTTAATTTTTCTTTTTAACAGATTTTCCTCTTTATTAAATAAATCTTATTTTAATATTTCAGTTAATTTTATGTTGTAAGTAGTAATTCGTTGCTTACATTCTTACAGAACATTTTCAGCTGTTTGTAAACATTACGTTCAATTTACTGAAATTAACTTATCTTTTCTTTTATCACACTTTTTAATTAGCAATAGGAAAAGTTTAAATAAGCAAAATAAAAGTTTAAGTAAATTTGATAAGCTGCAACACTTCGTAGTTCTTTATTTTTCAATTTCCAAATTGCCAAAATAGATAATAGAAAGAAAATTGATTGCATGACAGGTAAATTATATTCAAATATATTAGAAGCGAATTTGTCATAGTAGTAATATCTGTAACGCTTATCTCTGCTGGAGCAATACCTATGACAGATTCATCGTTATGCAATTGTACGATATTTTGTGGTTTTAGCTGAAATGCGCTCATTCTCTTTAACCTGTTGTCATCATACCTGTCTCAATTAGTTCTGCATATCTGATCGTAGACAGAGCGATAACAATTTTTCTCCGCTATGCCTTGGGAAATTGTCAACGCTCCTATCAACTACTACCCATAACTATATTCTTCAGTCGTGATCATTACCATGAAATGCCCTCATGATGAGATTTGACATTACGAACATTACGAGGTTGACCTTTGATGTTAATTTAAACTTCGATCTTTTTTTAAGAACTATGTTCATTAATTTTTTACCATTTATATTTTAAGTTAGAAAATTGTTCGATAATTTTTTGAATTAAAATTTTCTTCTCTCTTAGAATATGTCGAATTAGTTTTCAGTACTATATAATAATGATTACAGCCATTTTATCGGTGAGTTGCTGCAAAAAAAGAAATGCTGCACTTTTTGCTAACTCATCATTACATTTCAAATCTAACTGCATTCTTCTTTGTCTTCGTTACAGCCAGTAGTTCCAACCTTTTTTAAGGACATGAAATTTGCATAAGTAATTTTTGATGGTATAAAATTTTCATCGATAATATTTGAAGGTATAAAATTTGTATTAATAATCAAATTCACTTTTTCTTTATATTTAAGAAAAATTTTCATATTTTATTTCTGCTCATTTTTGTTTACAATTTGTTAAAAGTAATTTGTGAAATTTGTAAATAATTGATTGATGAAAAAATGCTTTATTTTAAATGTCTCAATGAAATGCATATTAATTTATAATATATAATTTGCATAAGGAATAGATAGGAATGAATTGATTCTCTTCCGCTCAACAACAAGGAAATGATGTGAATTGATAAATTTATAGTCTGTCTGTAATAGGCAAAAATTCATTGATGATAATAATAATAATAATGCATGCTGTCACCATTACTAACTAACTAATTATTTAAATGTATCAGAATTTCTTCCCAACTTTAAAAATGTACAATTATTTATTTATTTATTTATATAATTTATTAATGATCGAACTTTAATGAATATAAAATTTTTTTGGCATTGAAGTGAAAAAAAGGCATTGATTTATAGTTTAAAATTTTTCTTTGATAGCAATACGAACAATAATCTTTCGACTAATTAGACTAATTATAATTAGACTAATTATATATATATATATGAATGATTTATTTACATTAATGAATAATGATGGGAATTGCTCGTAACTATGATTCAGATTATAATACATTTCAAGCATTTAAAATTAGGTAGCATTGATTGTAACATTAATTAGTGAATGAAATTGTAGCGATAGTTATCATCTCTTTTTCGCAAAAAAATATGATCCTTCAAATGTCGTAAATGTCGCAGAACAGCCTAGAAATTATAAGAGATTCAATGATTTCTTTGGCCGATTTATTACCAATTTAATTGCGAAATTCGAAAACCGATCGGATAGATTTATGAACAAATAAGCCAACAAGCAATAGTAATAATTACATTTCTTTGTTGGATGTTGCTAAACTAACAATAATTTTTTTAAATAATCTTTTTAGGAAAGAATCGATCCTTTGATATTCTTTAACAATTTATTAGAGTCAAATTTCATTGTGCTACGATATTAATTAAATTAAAAGTTGATATTTGTTGCCAATTAGCTAATAGCCATTTGATGTTAATTAATAATTTGTTTTAAAAGCTGTTATTTTGCATCATATAAGGCTCTAAGTGAAAGAAAAACGTATTTCGAAGCTGAATACAATTTATTTTACAAAAGAATCGCTTCAAAAAATGAAGTGATATGGGATGGAATGAAAACGACCATTTCTCGCTGTACTTTTGTAAATTTCAATTTTACCATTTCTGTCACTTTTTCCAAAATTTTGTTTCAAACAATTCGCTCGCTATGCATTGGGCAAAAAGAAACGAATGACATTTAATGGCTTAATTGCTTTTAATTTTAAACCAATTAAATTGTAACGCAGCACTGTGACAATATGGTTGGATAGATTTCTTTTTCTTCTTTCATTCATTCATCCAATTTTTTGCAGCAAAACCTGTTATTCCAGATGGAATAACAGTTAAATCATTAGAATAGAATAGAAATATAGTAGAAGTGGTACCAATGTAACTATCGATTATGGTAGTAATGGTACCGGTAAAAGCATCAGTAACACTATTATGACTATTCCAAATGTAGCTTAATAAAAGATAACAAAGTCGGAAACAGTAGCGAAAGAAATGGTACCGCTGATGGTATTAAGATTTTTCGCTAGTTACTGATGAATTCAATGTGATCGTAAGCGTATCTTTCCGGGGCGGAGCAATGTGCGGTAGCGGAAAGGATATGAAACAGAAAAGGAACTCCGCCTTCCGCTCCTCACCGTTTGTCAGTTTCTTCCAAGCATCACGACGATCGCTATCACTCCTGGCGATAAGCGGTCGTGGATTTTACATCTGGTGGGCAATTTGGAGCTATTTTTGTTGTGAATTATGATAGCAAAATGCGAGGAATGGTACCCTTATATGAATAAGAAAATAATCTGGGAATTAGTTAATTCCCAGATGAACGGGAAGGACAGAGGAGTGAGAAAATGACCTGGGTATTAGTTGATTCTCATCGCTTCAATACAAATTTATAATTCAGTACGAATTTAATTTATTAACATTTTTTAACAAAATGTGAAATTCAAATTTTTTCCAGGAACAATTTAACTGTTATTATCGTTAAATCATTGTAGATAAAAATTTTCTCTATGAATATGTTTTGCTAATTACCAATATGAAAATTATCCAAAAAATGGTTTATGGTTAATTTTGATAAATTTCACATCAAATTTCATTAAAATATATTTTAATACATTAGTAATTTTTGATGCAAAAGTATATTAGGTATTTGTTATATATTTTATAAGGTAAAATATTCAAGTAGAGTTTTCGCCAATATTCATCAACGTAGTATATTTACGACATACGTAAATCTACTTGAAGATGTATCACATTTGATAACTAAATATTTCCTAATTACATCGTGTCGTTTTTTTAATTCAAAAATTAACTTCTTATTTCTGTTGGTTGACATATTTGAAACTTCCGATGATTATTAAGATTAAATTTTCTGATTTATTCATCAAGGTATATCAATAGGTACGTGAATCTATTTGATGATATATCGTAATTCATAAAGCGCATATTTCCTCAATTACATGAAATCATTTTCAATTTAAAAATTAAATTCACAATTTCAGATGGAACTGTCAATAATTACAATTAAACTACTTGCGAGATTAATTGCATTTCAATTACTTCTCCTATCATTACTACCTGTAACAGTTGTCACCGATGAACTTCTCAATGCACGGTGCCAAACAATGTGCCTTCATCAATTAGAAATAGCCAGTGGTGTAAGTTAATTATATGTATAAATAAATAAAATATTTATTACTTACCCCATCAAAAACTTATTAGTAAATTAAATTTTTCTTTTTTCGATTTTATTCTTTTTTTAAAAATTTTCCACATTTCTTTACTAATCCATTAAAATGCATTATATTTCCTTTTATGGATATTAATTTTTATTATTCTTTTTTTATTTCGAATTTATCTTTTTGTTATTAATTTAGTGTTATTTCGTCGTAACTTTTACTTTTATAGCCACCCGACAGCTATATTAACTTAACAATTTGGCTGGTGAAAATGTATGTATATAGTATAATGCTATTTTACTACATCTTCTATTTTATATAATTATTTATAAATATAATTGAATTTTTAAATTGTTATTCAAATTTCAAAAATTATTCAATTCTTTGAAATTTAACAAATATGATTAATCCCTTGAAAGTAAAAATATGCAGGAAAAGATGGGATAAGACTGAAATATGAAGAAGTATAAGAGCTATTCAACCACTTAACCAAACTAATGGTACTGTTAATGGTACCAGCGGTATCCTTTGTGTATATTTTAGAGAAGTTATTTGTGTTATAATTCCAGGACACTTTGTCCATCAAATTCGATTTTCATTTGGCTCTTTCTCTCTCTCTTCCTCTCTCTTTTTCATTCCTCCTCTATTTCATCCATCAAATGATGATGCATTAGTGTTTGTGGGAATAGTTTCACTTTCAGTTTTGTCATTTACCAAACTTCCATAAATAATTTACACAGCACTGAATTAATGAATTAATGAAATGGTGCAGTTGGTATTTTCACTGTCAGCTGTTCCAATCTTAAATAAACTTTCCATTAATCTTATTGGCGGTATTGTTGCAGTACGTAGTTTGCAAATAATATATCATAAGGACATAATTTTATTAACAGTGGAAGTAATTAAAATGGAATGAAATTAATTAAACTAATAAGTAGCATCAATATACAGGAAGTGATTAGATTGAAGAAAATGTAAGAAAAAGTGATAAATTTTTTAGAGTGAAATGAATGATATTTAAGAAGTTTACTAAATAGAGCTAAAGGGAAGCATACAATTGTTGGCAATCTAAAAATGCCAGACCAATTGATGATGATGATTGACAACGATGATAATGGTAACGATGACGATAATGATGGTGATAATAATGATAATGATGATAAAGTGACGATGATCAGTGTTGCTGAGCTTGCTAATAATAATCATAATAATTCTAATGCATTATATTAGAGTAATATCAGTTTCACAGCACCTGAAATTACTAAATGTTGTAATTATGTCGAGATTACGGTACAATTGTTGGAAAAAGCAAGCTGAAATTGCAAAATGAAAATTTCAATTTTCTTTATTGAAATTAGAAAATATAATTGTTTGAAATAAATCGAAATATTTTTGGATTTCTTTCTTTCTTTTTTCATAAGAATTAAAAATAAAATGACGAAAATGACTGATAGACAGACGTTTGCTTAAAACAAAAAGAAAAACAAAAATCGCTTAAATTCTTCATCATATCAGGCACGGAAGCCTAGGCTATCTTTTTTACATCTTTTGGCCTAACATTGCAATCCATTTTAACCCTACCCTTCCTTTTCCTTCTTTTTGTCCCAGTTCAAATCATCTATATTAAAATTATTGAATATTTAAATTGAATTTTGCTTTTTTATTTCTTCAAAAAAGCAATGCCTTTATAATATTTGCTTTTTCCTTCTTAAATATTATGCTTTAAAAAAATTAGCCTAAATAATGTTAAAATATATTTCCATTTGGATAGTTCATATTTCTACCTTTTTCTTCTCTCTCTCTCTCTCTCTCTCTCTATCTCAAATCTTATCATTTAGAGATTAAGAACAACTACTTCAAATTGCTTTATTTATATGAATAAAGTAAAAAAGATTATAGTTAAGATTAAATTTTGAAATTTCATCTTATTTAAATTTTTTCATGATATGATAATTTTTGCATATTTGAATTTCTTAATTGTATATTAACACTTTGTTTTTTATAATGCTTTTTCTGTAATTGTTGCATAGACTTCGGATTTTTCGACAGGTTGAATTTTTATTTATAATTTGATGAGGATATAAATTATTGGGATGATCGCATGATATCATTATTGCTATTCTTCGTCTTCATAAAATTCTAATGAATTCTAGACTTTTTGTCGGACACGATCTTCTTTACGCTGAGAATTTTGTTTGAATAAAATATTTTAAAAGTTGCTTTCAGATATAAATTGTCCATAAATGAAATCCACTAGGTGTTGTTAGTAAGGTTAGAAATGTATTTTGTTTATTGTTTCGTTTATCTTTTTTAATGGTCATCATCAATAATAATAATAGTAATGATTGTGATGCCAGCCAGACATTTAATATTTCCGGACGAGGATTTGAACAACTAACATTAATTGGGAGAGAGATGAAAGTTTTACAGTAAAAAATATGAAAAGCAATGAGTAATTGTTATTAGTGATAGGAATCAGAATCGTTTATTTGCTGACCCCAAATGCTATAGGCTTAATGAATAATAATGGAAAGCGATAAAGCGATATTTTGTCAACAAATATTAATCTATTTCTTCTCTGACCAATGTAAATATAAAAGCAACAACGATAACTGAAACCAAAGCAACAAGCAAACTTACCTAAATTATCCAATTTTGGGATAGTATATAAAATTTAATTTAAAAAAATTTTGTTGAAAATATCTCAAAAAATAATTTTACATCTATTATTTATTATTAAATATCGCATAAATTTGTCGATCAATTTTCTATAGTATATGTTATTATGACTTAATTGAGATAACAAATTGATCTAAGTTTATCGCTCCTTTTTTATTCCTCGAATAATTTTCAAGAATTAGTGTTAATTGTTGGTTGATAAAAGATTCCGATAAGTTAGAAAATTTCCGGATTGATGCAATCTTTCTAATTTATACTAATAAAACTCGGGAAGAGAAAAAAAGGGAAACGAAAGGAAAAGAGTGGAAAGAAGCCGAAAGCAAAGTCTTTCAATTGAAGACATATGTAAAACAGCTGCACGAATGAATTACTATAGCTTAATGGTTGATATTCCCAATAAAATGTTCATTTAATGATTTGTATTGGAATGAATGGAAAGAATAACATTTGCTTAGAATCAGTTGGCTTTACTACTCCGGAAATCCTGATTTATTGCCCTTAGTTTGTGCTAAAAGTTTCTATGTCGTACAAATAAACGACAATATTTTAATGTACTTTTACTTTTACTTAAAAACCGTTCAAATAGTTTTTTCTATAAATAATCAAATTCCGAAGTTGCTTTCCTGGAATGCCAACATAGTAAAATGTAAAATAAAAACTAAAATTTTTATTTAAAATAAAATATTATAAATAAATTAAAATTTAAATGGGAGGGAAAATTTGCAATTCATCATTTTGCATAACAATATAATTATCATTTAAATTTTAATACTTAAAATTTTCAAATTATCGGTCGGAAGCAAATATGTGCGATTTGGATAGACCTAAAGATTACATTTAAAGATTTAAAATTCATTGATACAAAGTTAGTTTATGAGTGAATGAGATGGAATGATCATTTTCTTTAAGAGATGATATATTAGAGGAAGTGAAATGATAGCATTTTCCGGAAGGCAAAGGTCATTTTTTATCATTATCTATATTTTCTAATCAGTTTGTTACAGATTGATTTAAAAACAAATAAATAAATGATTAATTTTGATTTAACTTAATGATTTAGTCTATTTTATTATTTTAAGCCAATGACTCTTTCAATTCTTAAATTTTGATATTTTTGTATTAAGATTTTGAATTAAAAATTAATTATTTTATTCTTCCTTTCTTTTAGTAAAATTTAATTTTTAATTTTAAGAGTGTAATTAATAAAAATGAAAAAATGTGATTTAAAGAAGAATAAACTCTTAAATACTTTGCTTTTTTTATCTCAAACTTCTGTTCATTATCAAATCTGTCAGGAACAGTGCTTCAATTTAACTTTTAATAAACAATTAAAATTAAAATTTAAAACAAAAGAAATGAAAAAGTTATGCCAATCAATTAGTTTAAAAAAATTGACAAATAATTGTTAACAAAAAATTTTATTTTCTATTTCAATTCAAATTAATCACGTAACTTATAATAAATTCTTTTAAAATGTTTCTTTCTTTTTGAATTAATTAATTAAATAAATAAAATTGAAATGAATTCTTCAGAATACTGTCTACAGTGTCCATAAATTGTTACAATCGTAAGCCATATGTTTTGGAATCTTACAATTTCTTTCTTCGGCGGTTAATTTATATCAAACATAAATTCCACAAATTTACTTTATCACTCGATAGCAATGATGGGAGAGAGTAATGACGACAGATGCTTGACGCCAGATACGTTCATAAAAAAGCGACAAGAATTTTTTGATGCAAAATTAAGAATTAAGACTTTTTTGAAATTATTCACTTTTCTTCCATTTTATTTTCTTACCTCTAATCATTCTTCCTTCATCTTATCAATTTATCATTCTTAGAAAAAAAATCTATTCGTTTTAATGATAATTACATTAACAAAATTGATAACATCATTAATTGATATGTATCTTTTGATAGCCGTAATAGTCATATATCACAGCAAAAGAGCGTAGCAAATTCTTTAAGGGACCATTTTACTACATTTGTCGTTAGCGACTATCTCGATAATATTTTATCCTTCTTTTTTGTCATCTAGTTTTTACCCAGTGAATCAATCATACAGACAGATATTGTGAATACATACATTCCATCCATTCAGTCATCTGCATTTTTTGAATAAAACTTATGTATGTATGTGGGTGTATGTATGTATGTGTGTGTATGTGTGTATGTGTGTGTATAAATAATTGTTTGCATTTGTGGTGGAAGAGATTTTTCGAGTTCGCTGTTAAAATGTCACCTTTTATTGTGGACTTTTGAAGAGTTCCAATGATTGCTATGCAAATAAAATAATTTGTTTGCATAGTAATAGTTGAATGCTATCAAACTGTGTTCCATTAAGGTATGTTTTTCATATATTTCTTATATATAAATACTTAAAAATAAGCATTGAACAAATATCTTTTAATTAAATGAAATTTATTTTCATTCATTCAAATCTGATAAATGAAACTTTCAATGAATGGAATAAACTGAATTATAATGTGAAGCTTTTCCGGTTTTTTTCCGGAACATTTATGAAAATCCGTTTTTTTCCGAAACATTTATGAATGAATTTCAAATCGTTTTTTTTTTAAATTAATTAGTTAAATGATGATGATACCTTACAAAAAGCTCATTCATTATTTGCATATTCAATTAATTAATTATTAATTAGTTGCTTTTTTTTAAAAAATCTACAAAATTATTTTTTAAAATTTTCTTAGTCGTTTTTTTCTTTTGTTCCAATTTAATTCTATTGTTTATTCAATCAAAATTAATTATAAAATGATAAAATTATCATTTTCAAATTTCTCAAAATGATCATTTGCTATACGCCTTACCGATCAATAAATCTTATTGAATTTTTGAATTATTCACTAAATTAAATAATGATAATTATTTGCTTTAACATAGGTCATATTCAAGGTTACCATCTTAGATGAAAAATAACTTTTCATATAAATAGAATACAGCCTCCTTCTGTTGAGACATTTTCGCCTATTTGCATTCTAAATCATTTAGTTGTTTGCATGATTGTCCCATTGCTTTCAACAATATTAATAGTTAATATTGTGGCTTCTATTGATAACCGATCATCCTGAAGTGCTATTCCTTTTCAAAGGCCTCTCCATCTATTGTGTCCAGTAACACGGATGACACTTAATTGATGTTGTGTCCAATCATCACAACAAATGGTTCAGGGTTACTTCCGTCCATCAATAAAACTTAAATTTCATTTCATTTGGCTTACTGAATTTTTAAAATGATTAATTTTATTAGAAGAAAAACAGGAATAATAATAACTGTAAGAACAATAATCGTACTGAATTAAAAATTCGAAATACGTTTAGCCAAAATAATTATTAAATCATGTAAATCAAAATTTAATTCAAATGATTGATTTATTTTTCTGAATATCAATTAATAAAATAATCAAATATATATTCGGTTTCTTCATTAATTTCACATATATATTCTATGCGATGTGTAATAATTAATAATTATTGCGATATTAATAATTATTACAATATTTGCATACTTTAGTAATTATTAATTAAATATCGC